CTCGATATACTCATTCATGATGAAACAAGCATTTGAAGAAGATCACAGCTGCATATTTGTACCAAAAAATGTTTGGAGATATTAAATGCTCTTTTTGTTCGGTGAACTTTGATATGTTAGAAGATTAAGAATCACCATTTCAAGTCAAAACCATACTTCAGAAATTAAACCTATTAGCCCTGTTTTCAGGGGTTCTATACCTGATCTGAAATGCACAGCACTCAGAAGTTCTAAATATCCAACTACTTTTATGTAGGTTCATAAACACTGGATTATTTCCATAACTATGATTGTTCTGTCTATTATTCCTTGTTTATTTTAACAGCAACAGAGTATTATGCCTCCTCTGTCATTTAAGGGAATAAACATCTTCTACAGCTAGTAAATCTCAAAACCTTTATCAACAGGTGGGAAATAAGAGTTGCCTCAAACACACTTACCCTAGGATGGGATTATTGCTTAAAGATGATAATATTGTGGAATAATCCTTTTATAAGTATTCTTTTATAAACAGATATATTTTTTTTAGGGGAAAAGTAAAGAAAACTGCAGGTATAAATCTTTATTTCAACTGTTGAAACTGATACTTTTAGCTATAAGGTCTGTAATTCCACGTGATGTCAAAATTGATTCATGGTTTGAAATAATCTTTAATACAAGGACATTAATTTACATTTTTTCTTATTATTTAGAAGTAAAGAATGCAGCTAGATCAAGTTACCCAAAAAGCTCATATCAATTCAAGAATACAGCTACTATTGCACTGGTTGGTCCCAAGTCCACTGAAGGAGCCCTGGAACCTGTTCCACTTGTTAATAACCGTAAAGGGAGCCTCTTCCTACCCAACAATCCCTCGCTGCTGCAACTTAATTTATTGAATTCTGTTGAACAAGGAAAATCTACGTACTGTAGATTGCAAAGGGCACTCAGCTTGCCTGTAAAATATCGCTACCACTCCCAAAAGCCTGGGTTGAACCAAGATCTCCGTAGGTAGCCCCATAGTTGGATGTATAAAGCAATTGCAATTGGTTTGTGCATGGTTTTGCAGTCTGTTTTCAATGTGACTATGACATTACTAATGCTCTGTTAAGTGCTTTCAGATGTGGGTTTCTCCAGATGTGGAGATTAATAAGTTAATCAATATAGCTAGTCAACTAATGTTTCTGGGTGGTTTGTGCTTTATCTTTCATACGGTTTATTTGCTCTGGTGCACTTACATTTTGGGCAAGACGAGTTTACCAGCTCTTACATGTGTGACGTTTAGTAACATAAATGGTATTTCCAATCATAGTTCTTTTTGGTGGTCCAAATATGGTGTCTATAAGCTGTCTTCTCTTGACCTGAGAGAGACAGTGAAAGAACCAGATCTATTTAAAAAAGTGGTTAGAAAAAAAAAAAAACAAAAAAACTTATGAGCTTGTCCACTGTTTCTGAAAGACATTCTCTTTATTTTACTTTAAAAAATGGAATGAGAATAAAAGTCAAGTATTGTGTTGTTACAGATGTTCAACTCCACATTAAGGCTGTTAAAATTACCAGCACATCTTAAATCAATTCATGGAACATTTTCTGGAGGTTATGTCATTGAAATAATGAATTCTCTTTACTCAAGAATAAGTAAACATGTTAAAACATCAGCGTAACTTTAAATTAAACTTCAGCATAAACCAGAGTATCTGAAGCCTCATTAGATTTGCCTGACATTTTTCTAGCACCGAGTTTTGCAGTTCAGGAAGACTATTAGATTCTGTGCCTGATAGACAAGTGAGCACTGGATTGTTACAGCACTATGTTAAGTTTTATACTTAGGGATGTGCAAAACAAGCTCTTGAAATTTATTAGAACTCAGAGGCTGGAATGAATTCAAATTCTATAATGTGGCCAATTCTTGAACTTATTTGCACTTTCCTGAAAGCTGGTAAGGAAAGTTTCCATAATATAATATGACTGTATTTTAAAACAACTTCTGTAGCAAAAAGACATCAGATATACTAAGAATGGGGGCACATTCTCAGTAAGAAAAGCACTAAGTCAAATATAGAATATCAGAGTTGAGTTGTCATATATCACAGCCCATTATTCAAATGTGGTTGTCTTTCTTAAGAACAAGACATCAAAGACTCCCTTTTAAATTAATGCAGGCAAAAACCATGAAACTGAAATGATATTTTATGACTTTACTAAAAATTTTTCTGGATCTATTTCTTCAAATATGCAGGAATTATATAATTTTATCTGAAGAATAATCATTAAATATGTTTTATACCCTACTTATTACCAAGAAGTGAGTGATCATTGAAGTGCATTTAGGAACCAAGTCATAACGGTCTCCATTCCATTCATATTCTTCAACTGCGTAGATTCTGTTCTCTTGTTCTGATGGAGTTGCATCTTTAAAACTGCAAAAGCACTATGAACTGCGTACAGATTTCATGGAAAAGCAAAATCTTGTTTGAACGTAATATGATTAACATACATTATCTTTCATTACTGCAATAAAAATAAATGGCCTCATGGCTTAAGAAGGGCATTACTTTAGTTATGAATTGAAATCTCAGATTTGCTGACATGTGTTAACTAGTGAACCACACGAGCCTTGGACTTTACAGGCCTAATGTAGTTTGAATATGACAAGCACGTATCAAATGAGGGAGATTATTTACTGTAGATGCTGTATCAAAAGTAGCAGCAGAAATCTATGTGTGATTACTCTGATTAGTACCAAGATTATCTTTTATAATTGAGTGGTGAAATAGTATCAACTGTTAGCACTGGAGAACATTAATATTGGACCTTACAGTATAAAAGATTTTTGGTGTTTTACGTTTAGTGTCTGAAAGGCTTGGATGAGTCTTTAACTAGCTGAAAACTTGATAGTCTTCCATACTAGTGCTTTTTATTGTTCACAGATATTGAATATTGTTATATTGGATATAACACAATCTACAGTTGTACTCCTCTAAGATTTTGCATGATAGGTGGTCATGATAGGTATATAGATTTCTTACAATATTAAAATCATATAGCAGTATACTTAGGGTATTTAGGGTACAATACTGAATCTATTGACAATCTTTCTGTAGCTCCATGGTAGCCAATAAAATTAAGTGAAATTTAGAGTTATTACTACTAGGAGTATGAAACATATCAATTGTATCTTTGTTATAATCAGAAACTAAAAGATATTACAAAAAAAATAATTCTGAAAACACACAGTCTTGGTTACAAAAAACTGAATAGTGAATTGATCTAACAAACCCAGAAAGAAAATGTCACTGAGAGAAAATTTCAAATTACATAATCTTGGGAATTTTCTATGAGCTTATCTATCTCCCAGCCAAAGAATAGAGCTAAACTAATAATCAATAAGCATCTAAAATCAAGTCAAATTGGAAGAAGGTGTTATTCTATTTATGAATGCTGCCTGAGAAAAAAAGAAAGTTAAATTAGTGAAATTAATCATTATAAGGCAGTCATTGCTCTTATATTATGTACAACCATTTACACAACTACTTGGAGCATTTTTTTTGTTCAGCTGTTTTTTTTTATGTTGTTGTTGTTTGTTTGGTTTTGTTTTTATTTGAAATGCCATAGTTTGCTTCAATTGCCTGGATGTGTTAGGTAGTGCCAGGTCACTTAAGACAGCACATCTGTCTTTTCAGGGCCTAATCCTTTAGTTTTGACAAAGGCAAAATAAATTTTTATGGCTAAAAACTAGACGTGACAGACTAGAACAGAGACTGTAATAAGATATTGTCAGAAAAGGGCCAAAGGAGAAGAATATTACCTAATTTGTCCTCAGATAAATGTAGGGTGGCACATATCCAGGTTTGTAGTTTTGGTGTTCCTCCGATGTAGTTCACTGCAAACTGATTTTTTTCTGGCTTTTGCTTGTGCACTGCTAATGTATATTAAGCTCTTTTAATTCAGCTGCTGCTACTACTACTAATCTCTTGCCTTTTAGCAGATTTCTAGATGTCAGCTGTATTACCTTCTAGTTCATTTTCTAGTTAACAATAGGAGGAAATAAGTCTATTTTTCCTTCTTTCCATTAGAATAATTCAGCATTAGTGTGAATATGAGATAGAAAGCATAATTTCCTTTACTAGCAAATGTAAACCTTGTGTGCAGATTATTAAGTGCAGTAATGATCTTGAACCAGTAATGATGGTAGTTAATTCTTGTAGAGGAGGTTTTAGAAAGCTGCATTTGTTTAAGCAACGCACATTGTGGCTTAGGTTATCTAAGAACAGTTTATGATTGACAAAATTGTGAGTGATATTACATCTGAAAATCGATCTGTCATTGAAAGTGCACCTCATCCTCATTAAAAGATTGCATAACATATGCATCCTCTGTTACACAGGTATTGTCTCCCCACTACCATTCAACCTCATTCTGTTCAATCCTGTTACAACTCCCTTTTGTGAGAGGGGTGGAGTGATGAGGTCTGACTTGTGCTGGAGATCTGTGCACAATGGCAGGCTGCGCTCACAGTCCTGACTAACTGAATCATTGAACATAAAGGCATTGAATATTTTACGTCTCTTCGTGAAGACTCTGTTATTTGGCATGTGAGGAGCAAGAACCAACTGGTGTCTGGCTCATTAGCAAAAGCAGGCTGGCAGCTGTTATGTTTGTATTGCAAATAGTACTTTATCTTTCTGGAAATATAGCAGAGCACTAATCCTACTTTTCTGTAGCACATGTTAACTAAAAATAACGCTCAGAATAACCCTACTGTGGTTCCCTCCCATGTTTTTGAAGTCTGAAACCAATTTGAACACCTTTGTTCAAAAACCCTGGTACTCTTACCTGCTTCTCCTTCAAACCAATTTCTCTGACTAACATGTATTTGATTTTTATTACTGTTAGGCCTATGTTAGCAATGAAGTATCAGTGCGTGAATGGACATAGAGTGTGTGTTCTTTGCTACTTCACTTGTATTTCATATGGCATGTAGAACAGTGCTTAATCTCATGAGTTCCTTATATTTCCAGTTGAAGATGAGCAGCCGTCAACACTGTCACCCAAAAAAAAGCAACGAAATGGAGGCATGCGAAATTCTCCCAACTCCTCACCCAAACTGATGAGGTAAGACTGTAAGAAACTCATATCTTCATCTCCTTTCTTCTTCTCTTCCTATTCTCCTCCCCCCACATCAAAAAATAAGGGGAGGCAGAGGAAAAAAAGATTGTTAGATGGTTTCTGAAAGGCTGAAGTATTTATTCTGTCAGCTTGTCAGCAGTTAATGATAGAGCTGAAAAAAATTCTGTCATGAAAAACAGTTTGAAAAGCTGTTTGAAAAATACATAGGCTTTAAAGTCTTAGCTGTCACCCTGTCCTGCCCGTGTGTAGTTCTTAAACAGCAGTGGCACTAATGATAGCACTAACCAATCAGAGGAACTCGTGTGGTTAGTTTGCCTTAGGCAATTCTCTTTTTGTTGGATTCCCTCTGAGTACTGTTTTCTGTACTTAAGGCCATATGTGAGATGTATCATCACAATCAAAAATGAACCTGAATATTACCTTCCTTTTATCCTGTCTATTGAAATCAAATTTCTGTTAATTGATTTAGACTGATAAAAAAGTCTAATAATCCATGTGCTTGCCAAAGCAAAGTTCAAAAACGAATGCAGTTTTACTCAGGCTAAAAGCATGTTAATTATGAAATACAAGGATTTTTTTAAAGGGTAGTATATACTCTAAAAGTAGGTAATGAAAACATCATCGTTAGTGATATTTTTCCCCTGTTGCTATATGTACATTATTTTACACTTGTAATATCTTTGTATTACTATGTAGTTCTCTTCCATAGGACAGTTTTCCTCTAAGAGATTTGTTAAAACTAGAATTGCAATAGGAAATTGGAATCTATTAAAATAATATGGCGTATTCTATCTACTGTACTTTACCCTTTGGCTGCTCAAGTCAGTCCAAACAGGATCAAATAGTAGATGTGAAGCTTTCTGAAATGAGGCTGTTCCTCCTTTATTTTGCATATCTGAAGTGGACAGCCTAGAATCTCAATCCATAATTGTATCCAGAACTAAGTAGCATAGTGGAGATTTTCCACTGCATACATATACAGAAAAAAACTTAAACTTAGGTATATGAACAGGCACTTACATACAGTTTGGAGTTGGGGTGTATGTATAACAGTAGCTGCTCTGCATTTGCAGAAATTAAAGGAAAAGAAATGATATGAAAGTATATCTCTTTATATAAAATCATTCATGCTTTTCTTTTATTGTTGACATTATTTTGTTCCTTTAACAATTTTGGATACATCCATGTAATATTGTTCTTTACATTTTAGTCAGTAGATTAGAAATTTTGTTTGGACACTTAAAGGAGCATCCATATTTGTTAATTGTTACAGCAATATAATTAAGGGCATAACTTATACAAGTCTTCTCCATTTCTGTCTGGACCACAGAACTGAAAGTGAGATTGATTCACAGAGGAAAATGCACCCAAAATCCTTTTTTTCATATTGACCATCTATTTCTGTTAAATGTATCATTAAAGGTTCTTTGCCTTTGTTTCCTCAGTCTTGCCCATATGACACTGATTTACATGCTTTTTTACAGCTTATGAGGAGGAATAAAATGAGCATACAGACAAGCTTCTCATTTTTATGATGCCAGTTGTCATCCTATCATCATTTTCAGTTTGCTTACCTTTGGACAGACTTCTTATTTAGCAGTAACAGTTTTAACCACTTATAGTTTTAAAACTGTGGGAGATTGCCCCATGACCAAATCCTAATTTGGGGGAAGTAAAAATAAAAAGGGAGAAAGAAAGAGAGAGAGAGAGCTGAAACATTTGGAGCTGAGTGCACTGTCCCTGTTTGCTATGTAAAGTATGCCTCATTTCTTTGATCTTGAGTAATAATAATTCTGGGGAGTTATACTGTTTTCATATGCTTCAAAGCTGTGTCAAAGTTTTGCTGCTTAAGGGTACTTCTTTATTCTATTGGCTCTTGGGTACTGAGATGACAGGTCCTCTGTACTAGGTGCAGGCTTTTTCAAGTCATAGCCTTCAGCAAAACATCAAATTACCAAATACAGGGTAACATACTTCTACACAAATGCCTTTCCAGTAGATATATTATACCATATATATTAAATACTTTAGTGTTACACGGTACATTTTATGTGCAATAGAAAGTGATGGTTTGAGGTAGCCTTAGGGGTACTTTTTTCCACAAGCAGAAAAAGCTAGTGTATACCGTATCAAGTATGGTTTTTACAGGACTTTCTGCCCGAAGGCCTTTGTAAATAAGTAATGATCAACAGATTGGCTGTGGGTTTTTGAAAAGCATGCCTGTGTCAGTTTTCATGATGGGGGAAGATTTTCAAAGTGGAGCCTGCTTTCATTGCCTGCTGAAGAGGGACTGAGGGAGAGTAGTCGTCCTGAGCCTGAGCTGTCTGCTCAGTAGCACATCAGAATTGCTAAATACGGGTCGAGCAGCAAGCAGAGAACTTGCTAGGCTTCCGGATCCAGACATTGTTTTTTTCTTTTTTGCTGCTAAATTTATTTACCAGACCTGTCTTGGCACCCTCAGCCTTCTCCCAGATCCAATGGTCTACTTGTCTTACCCTTTATCTGTGTTGTCTTAACTTTTGTTTCAAGGTGCTAAATAAGAGAAAACTAATAGAATATGAAGAAAACAGTTCAGCTTTGTGTACAATGGCCAGGTACCATTCAGCTATTTCATAAAGAAACGTGGACTATATTATCTGCATTTTTGTATACTTTCAAATTTCCAAAGTGACAATTACTTGTTTTCCTACTCAGAAATATTCAGTGTATCAACTGAAAGTACACAAGAAGTAAATCAGTTAAAACACTGTCATATCTGCAGCTGATATTTACCTTTGCAGTGTCTTTTCTAAATTTACATTAAGTGCTTGTTTTCAAAGGCAGCTTCACCCATACCCTCCCACAGAAACAGCTGGCAGACTATTTCCACAGCAGTGGTCCTGGGTCTATAGAAGACCTGGAGAACAGGAAAACTAATAGAGCTTATCTCTATAAATAGAGTATAAGTAGAGAAATAGTATGCGGAAATTTAAGTTTTAAATTGAAATCAGGTCTGCAACTACAGAATCAGTTTCTGAGCAGCCTTATAGTTAACATAACATTAAAATGCTGTATAGATTTTAGATTTTCATAGTAGCTGGAGCAAATCAGGGAAGAAGGTATAATGTCATGAGCTGCAGCTTTTGGATTCCTGCTACCGTTTGAGCAGAACAGAGAACAGAATCTGTATCGTAGGCATTTCCTGGGAGATTGTGACAAAGAGATCTGCCTATCTAGACCTGGTCAGAAGGTGGGTGTCTTTGAGATTCATTCACACATAAATAGAAATCTCTATGATTAGAGATTTAACCTGATTAAACCTGATGCTGATAGCTGGAACAAAGACATCTTTTCAATCCCATCTTTTGATACTGTTCTCTCTAGATGTCAATAAGTTACTAACTGGAAAAAAAAAAAAAAAAAAAAAGCCATACAAATATGCTCGGCGTGTATCACATGTAGTTTAGATTCACATTTGGAAAGTTACCGTTCTAACTAACTCCTGCATCACATCGAATGAGATCACACTAATGTGACACTGAAAGAATCAAGTGATCAATCAGGAACAATAAATGAAAATTAACTAGAAAAATATTGAGCCACTCTGCACTGTCATGATTACTTTCTACCTGTTTTTCCTCAGCAGAAGGCTGCCCCATTAAACACACACTTTAAACGTAAGTTAAACTTTATCAGGAAAAAACAAATAATACTTCTATGAAGATGTAAACACAAGGGCGTCCTATTACAATGAGGTATAAAACTAAAATGAAAGCAGAAAGAAAAGAAAGTCATGAAAAATAATCACATATCTAGTTTCCTTATTCATGCGCTAGGGAGGAAAGTGAGACCATTTGATGCTTCTGGTGTCAGGAAGTGAAATCAGATCATCTGTTCATCATCTGACAGTCAAAGGTTTTGATTCGTGTTATTCATGAATAGCCACATTAAACTTGAGGAGACTGTGTTGCTTGAGTATCAACTAGCAAAGCTAGTTTAAAAAAAAAAGTGTCATTTTCAATTCTAGAGTAACCAATAAAATGTGAAAAGCCCTGGGTTTAAATCAAAAAATCTCCTTAAAAGGATTGTTGCTGGGGCTCAAGTCCTCACTTAATGCTTTGGTGGCTGCTACTGCATGAGTGGAATACACTGAGTTGAAGGAAATGTCAGCCCAGCTGAATCAAACTACCTCTTAATGCAGGAGCAAATAGTATATGACAGGGCCCAAGGGGCCTGAAGAGCAAACAAATAGTTTGTCCCTGTCCACTCTGAATGTAGTGGTGTAGTTGACATAGGCCTCTAGACAAGTAGCATACTCAGCAAAGGGTCATTATCATTAGTGTCCCTGATCACATAAGAACCAGGCATCAGAGGACACTGGGTTTTCAGTGTGATGCCAAGGAGAATTTTTTAAGCCTGAGGATTTTGCTTTATCAAAGATCCAAAATAATTCTCAACCAAACCATAAAACTGGTTCAGAGTCCAGCTAAGTAACACAGAAAAAGTGAGATTTTGGCATACATTTATGAAGATATTATGAGATTATTTGTCCGAAGGTGAGGAGGAAACCTTCTGTCTGTTTTCCTGAAGTTGGCTATAATATTCTAAGCATGTGAACAGTGACTGTGCACATTCATCTCCTCATCTGCCTACCCAGTGCCATACAGTAGCACGTATGCTCAGCAGTGCCACTCATTCCCTGCCACTGTAGTGCTACTTTTCCTCTTGCTGAAAAATTTAGCTTTCCACAAGAAGTGAAAAAAATGGTGAGAGGTCTAGAGGGGGAACGTTTCTCAAACAAAAACTATTAAAATGACTTTAATCTGATCATTTTCCGAGTCTACCCTAAACCAGGTAAGGTTTGAAGAGGTAAAACTCACTGATTAGCCATAATAACTGTTTCTATCTGTGACCTCAATGCTTGGAAATTTTCATACTGAGCTCTGAATTTATATCCTTTGTTAAGGCTTTACTAAGGCTAACTTTATGCAATGGTAACATGAAAT